CGGCTGCCCCCCGGGGGCGCGCCGGGAGCCGCGCTCAGCCCGCGCGGTGACCGGGGTTTTGCCTCCGCGTTTATGTATTTATTTTCTCGTAACGACCACGTAGGCAAGCGGCAGCCTCGCCTCCGCGAGCAGAGGGTTCGGGCGAGCTTCCTGCCCGCGCTGACGGGCGGGGCTGCGTTGCTGCTTTTTTGTTTTGTTTGTTTGTTTGCTTGTTTGGGGTTTTTTTTGTCTTTTTTTTTTTGGTACTCAGCGCATCGTGTCCATGCGGTTCCAGGCTGCTCCCCGGGGGTTGTTGTAACTTACCCTCCCTGTGCCCGCCGAGGCACTTCTCGATGCCATGAGTATTTCTGTTGGGTGCAAGCGGGTGTCCCACCTGCAGCCGCAGCTCTCCCTGGGCTCCTGTGCTGCTCTGTGTCCTTATGGGACAGAGCCACACCGGGGGCCATCACCGTGTCTGCGGGCCTGGCCTGGGGGTTGGCCGGTACCAGCTGCTCAGGAGTTTGGTGCTGGTGTCACTGCAGGCGTCCCGGAGAAACAAGCACCGTCTCTCATTCCAGTGCTGTTTTCTGCATTCGTGCCCCTTGCTAATGTACTTTTTTCATCCTTCAACTTAATTTTCACCTTCTGCTTTTCTGCTCTTGGTCCTCTTCTTATGCTCTAGAAAAGTTAAGGTAGTTCCTTATAGTATTATTGAGTTGCTTAGAGTTATGGCTGTACCAGGGTAAGCTGATGTGTGTGACCTGGGATGAAGTAGTATGGAAAGATAGGTACCCCTGTGTTCCCCCTTTCCCAAGCTGCAGGAAGGCAGCCTGTGTAAGGAAGGAAGACAGTGGCGTGCGTTCACTGACCATTGCATGCACACCTAAACATTCAGCTCAGGGCTCCTAGTTACGTAAACTGTTTGTCTAGGGACTCCCAGCAAAGACAAGCTACAGTAAAAATAAATCCATTTCATAATTGAGGAGTAAATACATAGTTGGAAACATGCTTTGGCTAACCCTGAATGGAGGCTATGGAAAGTCGCTGGTGTGAGGGAAGGAGGAACATGAGACCAGAAAAGGTCACTGTAAACTTCCACCTCGGGCACCCTTGCAAAACAAGCGTGAGGGTTTCTCTAAGCCAGGCTGAACTCCAGATCAGTGCTGACCTGGGGCTTGTGTTCATGTGGAAATGTAATGTTACAGGTAGGGCAAAGCTGCTGCAGACTTGTTCACTAGAGTTCTAAAAGTTCTTTGGTTCCAGGTATGAATTGTCATTTTAGCTGCACACATGACCTGCTCTTACCTGCCGGTCCTAGCAGAGCTAACATAAGACCAGACCTGTAGTTAAGTAACAATTTGTCATCTTATGCCATTATCACACCCTCCTAACATCCCAGTTATACCTGTTTGGTATTGTGTGAGTTCACAGCTTTGTAGTTATTCACCTTTGCATCCCAAATACTCGCAGGAATGGATCCTTTCAAATTAATTTCTGTTCTGCTGTTCAGGTGAGTTGTTGTTAGGCTTCTTGTAAACACACCACGGAATTCACATGGGAAGGCCCGTCTTTAAGATTAGTCAGAGACTGTTTTGTGAATACCAAGAGGAAATATGGCTAAATAGAAATTACTCTTTACAAAGCATGTATTTTCCATGTATAACATTATTCATATAAAATACTTCTGAAGACTAGCATAGAGTAATTTAATTTTAAAGATGATTTCCTTACTAAAAACGATGGAAAAAATAAGATTTTTTGCAGTATTTCATGATCAAATGATTCATTCTGGAGATAGATTTAAGGAAAAAAAAGCATCAAAAAGTATCCAAAAAGTTGAACAGGTTACATCAAATAATCAATATTTTTGTTAGTTTCTGGGACCCTCACTACGCTTTTGGACTATTGACAGAGCTATGCCTAATTAAGTTCCAGTAAAATTAAATTGTTTTTCCAAATTTACCAGCAAAATATTTGCATTCTTCCCACCAGTATTCTGAAAATCAGAAAGCTGATGATGTTAGTGATCACTTTTATGGTCTTGTTCTCTAGTTATGCTTAGCTAGCATACTGTTGTCAGTATAAATCATGAATTGTTGCTAAATAATTTGAAATATTCTGTTTTTCTAGCCCTACTGGATCGCATGTTGAATGGTGTAAACAGTTGATAGCTGCAACCATTTCTAGTCAGATTTCGGGGTCTGTCCCATCAGAAGGAGTGTCCAGAGACTACAGGGTAAGTGACCTGGAGGGGAAGTAAATTGGTTTATTTATGGTAAAGGCATGAATGATCAAGTTCCTTGCTACCTTGATTTTCAGAGTAAGTACTTAAGTGATATATGAATGTTCCAAAACTAGAAGCATTTCACAATATATAAGGATGTTTTACCACTGTTCTGTGTTTTCCTATATAGTTAGAGAAGTGATATTGAATTCTACAGAATAGAAAGTAAGAGAAAATTTTAAGTCAGTGTTTCAAAGAGCAAAAATGAGTTGTCTTTCCTTTTCGTTATGACACAGAAGTTTTCAGTAAGATAGATTAATTGGAGATTGAAAATGTTTTCTATTTGCTGAATGACCATGCTAGAATTCAGCTTTTGAGGTTCCACAAAAATGATTATCTCTCTGCTACTCTGCAAAGAATCTATATCATCCCTTTTTTTTTTCTTATATAAATGGTTTCACTAGAAACAGACAAATTGGTGCCAATACTTAAGAATGTTACCTTTTTCTTTTCCTCCCAGCATCATTTCTGTCACTGAGATAATGACGATGCAGTTTGATAGGATTTGTTATGTTTATTACTGCTCCTCTTTCAGGCACATTTATTGTTTTCTGTATATGCAGACAGCCTACTAAACTACCAAGAGTACAGCATAGTCTGCTTTCCTCCTCTTAGAAAAAAAGTTTCACTTGATAAAACATCCCAAGCTGCTATTATCTAGACGACAAAATGCACCATCCATTTTCTTCCTGGACTTGACATGTAGTTTTATGATCTTCATGAAAAGTAGGCAGATGAAAGTTGTATCTTTTTTGTTTTAAATTGCTAAAAATTTGTTTAATAATTATTAACTAAACATGCTATATTCAAAAAAAGAGTTGGATGTTGTCTAGATACGATGTATTAGCTTCTGTGATTGCAGGTCGAATTCAACTCAAGCCTGAAGATGAATCCGCTAAATATATTTGATCTCAATCTGTTTAAGAATTCACCTCACAGAGATTGTCATTGTATTGGCACAGTCAGCAGCTTGTACTCATAAAAAAGGGTAACTCTTCCATACTATGGCAGCTGAATTGCAAATGCTTTGAGTCAAGGCTAGTGTCTTTGCTAAAACATTGTGGGGAGCATTGCATTACAGCTGCCTGTGTTGTATTTGCCCTGTAGATCAAGGACTTCGTTTTACTAAACTCTAAGTATAAGCTTGGTATTTAGTTTTATCTTTTGAGCTATAATGCATTCCTCTGGAGTAGAGAGTGCTTTTTTTTCTTTTTATTCTTTTTTCTTTTTCTAAATGATCTGGTTCTCTACTCCAGACTCATCCTGGATGTTACTTAAAAGGAATAAGTCTTTGGGGCCTAATTAAAATTTTCTACATTCTATTTCATTCTCTCTTCATTATAAATGAAAGAAAAAGTTTGAGCATTTTGGAGTTCTATATTTTTGTGACTAAATTGTATTTAGCATCTTTCACTGGTGTGAGTTAAACTCTTGTGTTTGTGTACAACACGATGGAATATTTAAATCTTAGAATATTTACATTCAGGAGCAGTATTTTGTAATGTGTTACACTTTAAGAAAGGGTTTCCTTTACACTTAACTTTTGCAAAAGTTTGTGGTACTATCAGTTGCTTAGTCACTACCACTAACATGATGGGTTTACATGTTTCCAGAAAATATCTTCAGTGCTGCACGTCTTAAGAAAAAAACAAGTCCTAATATTTATGAAAAAGGGGAATGAACTTGGTTTATTTGTAAATGAAGGAACTCTCAGGCACCAGCTAAAACTAAGGAAATTATAGGAAGCTGCTAAGTAAACTTTCTTGTGTAGCTACTAGACTTTCAGAGATTTTAATTATTCAGCAGTTCTCTTTTCTTCTTTGAGTAAGTATTACAAATCATGTGAAATAATATTGATTTGTGTATGACTTTATGTCACAGTGAGAATACACTTGATTTCTCCTGGGTAATGTGTCGGGTTGTATCTTGTACTTTTTGGCAGGTTTTTATGTCTATATTTATAGTTTTTATTTCCCGCGGTGTCTTACAACATTTTTTTGTTTTCATCATCCAGCTTAAAATTTTAGTAATCAAGTTATTGGCATTGTGCCGCAGTTTAAGAAATCAATGCTGCTGGTTCAAACTAATTTTCTTGAAAATTATTCTGCCTCTTGTTTAATATGTATATATGTCCTTACTATGAAAGTCCTTAACTTCATTATTAATGTAGAATTCATACATATAAAGTTATTCCAAAATGTCCATTTATACACTTTGATTTGAGACATCTTTCCCTCTTGCTGTGCCCTTGATCAATATTCTGTGTCTTGATTACCTTTGCCTGGGTCAAGATGTTGCATTCAGAGAGGACCTTACATCAACTCAGAAGCTCCGTTTGCTTCTTCAATTGATCAGGCTGTTTTGTTGCTTTCTGCTGGATTTATCAGTAACCTTTCCTCCTTTATTTTCTTCTTTTTTTCTTTAAATATTGCAATCACTATCTTTGCAAAAACAAGTAAATAGAGTCTTGTATCTCTTGGTGGCTTCTGTGTTACTTGTTCCAGAAATGTAATTCACCAGAATGTATCTGGGGAGAAAAAAATCAAAAGGGAGCAAAGAGGCTACAAATGGAATAGTCAATACTGAAGAACTCAGAACTAGCTCTTGCCTGCTAATCTTAACCGTAACATCATTTAACTGTGAACTCTGATGTATGTTATCTTCTCTGACAGACAGCCTGGGGAAAATTCTTGAACGAGGACTTCATCTTAATGGAAACTGCTTAGTTTATGGTAGCCGAACATAGACACCTTCAGAAAGAAAGTTGGGGAGAGTTGTAGCTGTCCTTGTTTTAGCATTTTAATCTAAAAGATACAGCGGTTGTATTACATAGCTGTTATTGCAGGCTTTTTGTGTTTTGCCCGGATGGATTACTAGATTCTTCTCACAATAACATGTTGTAACTGGATAAAAAGATTATTAGGAATAAATTTTTCAAAGAGCTTGAGTTTTGTGTCATTACTAAAATGAAGTGGCCAGATTACTTTGAGATCAAAACAATTTTTCAAATGGGAGCTGCTAGATCTATACAGGTGTGATTTTCTTTTTTTCTTTTTTTTTTGTTTTAATCTGACTAGTAGTTAATACTCTGGAAGTAAACTCTTCTGAAAGTCTGGTGAAATAAGATATAGTATCTTTAACAAATCAAATCCATATGTTTTGTTGGATAACATCTTCTATTTTAACTAACAGGTATACAGGAGGCCTGATTTACGGGTAAGGTTACCTTTGGCTAAGAGTAAACGGCCTCCTACCTGTTTGTCTTTTGTGCTGTGTGAAAGCCTGGTGTGTCAAGTCTTCTTTTGTACTTCATTAATGGTTTTTATGAACCAGTCGGACCATTTTGCTATGCAGTGCAGCAGCTTCTTTGCCATAGAAATGCTTTATATACATTGCAGTGTTTTTCATGAGCTGTAAAAGTCCATGTGTAAGAGAGCAATATATTTAAATTATGTTATAAATGTGTAGTACTAACTTCAGTTTTATTACATTAATTTTGACAAAATGAATGCTCACAACTGCAGCTTACATGCTTTGGACTACAGAGCACTGTATTAGCAACTTAAAAGTGTTATCTGTGCTCAAGAATATTAGCAGTAAAAACACTACGTCTCGGTCTACCCAGTTCAAGTAAGATACCAGTTCCTACTTGCATCTGTATTATTGCTGCAGTCGGACAGCAGAGTTGAAAGTTAAGATTGGAGTTAGACACCACTGCAATGACCTACATCTTTTAGATGATCATTTTAGAGACTAGGCCTTGCCCATTGTTCACTGAAGATATGAAAAACATCTGCCTGTTTTCTTGTCCCTCTCACTTAGTAATGTTTATGGAGTGAGAAGTGATCTGGATAGTATTCTGACATTGTTCATGAAATGTTTCTAATGCTTTTATTCAAACAAAGACCTTTTATTCAGTCCCAAACTAACAGACCACATCTGAATGATTTCTTTTTCTAATCAGTTGTTTACATATTTGAAAATGTGTTCAGTCCATCCATACAAATGCACTTGTTTTTTTTTAATAGATCACTCTTGAAATAATTGTTTTGGACTGAGGAACAAAGCTTAATTGTTTCCCTTCAGCTTTTCATGGTTCTTTATAACGATGTCTTATTTCTGAATGATCTGTTATGCTTCTCTCTCTTTCATTTAATTCAGAGTCTTCTGGTGTATTCTCTTGTCCTTCTTTCAGTTTTCTTGCAGGGATCACAACATCTGCCTTTCTTTAATTCCAGAAAAACATTTTTTTTATGGTCTAGTTTTAAACAGGTACTATTTTTCAGAATGCCATCAAGACCTAATTGTTAGGAGGCCCTTATTGTCTGAAATTGTTTTCAAGATTTTCCCTCAATATCATACAACCCCCCCCACTCTCCTCCAGAAATTAATGTGAATCATATGTATATTTTGCTGTCAGAATAATTGTACGTTCTGTAAAGTAATGGACTAAGTTTCCAGCAGCAACCTAGAAGTTGCTGGAGAAATCAGTGAAAATATAAAACTGAATTAAACACTGAACTGAATTAAAACACGTTTTACACAACATAGCATTTTTAAAAATTTTCTGAATGCTTCTATTTGACATCGAACTACCTTGTCCTTGAAAGACTGCATGAATTTTCCCCTAATGCTATCATGGCAAGCTGTACTCAATTTCTTCTATTTATAAGCATGTGGCATACTTTGAATTCATTTTCTTTCCTGCAAGGTTGCTTGTCTGAAAAAGACAGTACATACTTTTATGTTCCTACGTGCCAACCAGCAGTGGCTCTTTTGTGAAGAAGGATCTAAATTTCCCATTTCATGTTCTGCCAAGTAATATAAAATGGATAGTTCTCATAACTTGGAATCTTTCCTGTGGAAAGTAGTTTGTAGCACAGGCAGAAAATGTTGAATAACTAGACTGAAGTTGAAGTATATACTGTCTCTTTAAGGAATGAGGTTTTAAAAATCAGAAAAGGAGAGATTCTGTCCTTTTACCTGTTGTCTGCATGTTTTTCCCCA